GGTCCACCAGTTGGTCGATTCTGGGCAAAGAGAAACTGTCTTTAGGGCAAGCACAGTTGACTGTCTTGTAATCAACACAAACTCATCATTTGCCGTTCTTCTTTGGCACCACGACCGTGTTGGAAACCCACCGAGGGTAGTAAACTTCCTGGATTGCCCTCGCTTCAAGAAGGTTTTTGACCTCCTCTGCCACTACCTCGGCGTGATGAAACGCTGATTTCTGTATTCTTTAAATGACAGGCCAGACATCTGGAAAGACGTTGGGTTGGTGGCAAATACAGTTTGGATCGACGCCAGGCATGTCGTAAGGTGTCCACGCAAACACTTTGTTATTTGCCACTAAAAACTCCACCATCTCCACCCATTCTTGGGCGGTCAGGTTGGAGCCCAACAGAAAGAACTTCTCAGGATTAGCTTCGTTGATCCTTACCTCTATCAAGTCTTAAACAGCCTTTTCTTTGGCCCTGGTACCCACATCATCCAGGACACTTTGATCTTTCAGTCCTTCGATCATTTGCACGAATCCTTAGGCTGCTCGGCTTCCATTCACGGCAATGAAACACTGCTTGGCCATGACTTGATTGCCTCAAATCTGTTCAATCACCCTCGTAGCAGAGGGGAACCTCATAACTTGATGGTAGGACGAAGCCACCGCTTGCATGGCGTGAAGCCATTCTCTGCCGAGGATCAGATTGTATGTAGAAGGCATCTTCAACACCTAGAACTCAACTTGCTTGACCATTGATCTGACTTTGACCGGTAAGATGATCTTTCCCAAGGGCCACTCCGGTTGTGAGTTGAAACCAACCAGAGGCGAGGTCGCTAGGGCCAAGTCTTTATCGCTGAGTTTGAGTTGCTTGAAGGCATCGTAGTATATTATTTCGACCGAGCTTCCCTGGTCGATCAGAATGTGCCGAACGTCAAAGTCTCTGACGTAAAGGGTGACCACCAACGCGTCATTGTACGACGTCTGAATTCGTTCAAGATCTCAGCTTAAAAAGTTGAGTATATCTTTCACCTCGGTTTTGCTCTTTTTGACTGAGGGCTGGACTGATAGGACTTCCCTCATATGCTTGGCTTTTTGATCATCCCTCGGAGCTCGCATACCTGTGCTGGCTCGATGATACCATGGATAACGTTGATCACACCTTGGAAGGGTGCTTCTAGGGCAGCCAAACCATTTGGCTCAGTCGGAGTGTGGGGCGCGGCTTTGATGCCTCCGTCAATGTAATAGTCCAAGTGACCAGCGACGACCAACTCCTCCAGATGTTGTTTCAAAGGAAAAGAGTCCTAAGTATGATGCCCCCGCTCACCGTGAAAGGTGCAGTGATATCGCGGATTGAACCCCCTTTATGCGTCACCAAGCTTAGCCGAAAACCGGACGTATATCTCGTCACGGATTTCTCTAAGGATACGGCAGATTGGGATCTTGTAAACCTTGGTGATACATGTGCGGGCGTTCAACTTCCTCTTTGCATCTTTCGCTGTGTCACGAGAGTAATCTGCTCGATCGTTGTGACGACCTGTACCCCAGTTGCTGCAGTTTACACCACGGTCTGACTTACTTGCGCAGTTACTCGGACGGTTTGCCTCTTGTCCAACTGCGTGCACCTTGCCAGCCACTTTTTTGTCCGTTGCCACCTAATTTGCCTTTATGGTGGCCGTGGTAGCATCATCTTCTACTCATATGTGCTCATTGATGCGCTACATCAGTGGCTCTATGGTTGTCGGTTGGTTCATAGTAAGCGAGTCTCTCAATCTATGTTCGACCGGGAGACTGCGTTTGTATTGGGTGATTGCCAGATTGGTCGACCAATCAAGGATTTCATTGAACGTTTCCCAATATCTGGTGTTGTATGCTTTGAGGGAGTCGCCCGGTTCCATCTTAATGCTCAGAAGGTGGTCGACTTCCTTCGGCGTTTTGGTGTTGGTTTTGAATTGGGTGACGAATGCCTCCGCCAACTGCTGCCACCTTTCGATACTTTCCTTCGGCAGCCTCTCAAACCATTTTAAGCCCAACTCACCCAAACTCGACAGGAAGATGAGGCACATAAGGGTGTCGTTTCGCCGGTATCTAGCCATAACCTGCCAGAAGTGGCTCACGTGCATATGTGGATCGGTTTTCCTGTTGTAGAGCGTAAACTTGGGCTGGTGAAAGCCCGCAGGGATCGATGTGGTCTCTATCTCAAGGGAGAAGGGGGTGGCGCTCAGCCTCACCAAGTCTTTATCCAAAGGGGCATGTACAGCTGGGGGTAGTGGCGGCATTACGACTTCCTCACTGGTATGACCTCTACGGGATAATCGCTGTAGCGCCGGCTCCCTTTGCGCCTCCTGCCGACGTGCTCGTTCTTCCAAGATGTCCCTCACGTATTTCGAATGGGCGGAGTAGGAATATCTCGACGTCGTCGACGGACGTAAAGGACGATAACTGCTGTCTTGCGCGTAAGACTTCTCTGATGACGGGTCAGAGTCACTAACCCCATAACTTCTAGTGATGGAGAAGGAGGGTGTCCACCGCTGGTTCTGGCTGCCTAAGTGACAGGGTTGGGTGTACTCATTGTGGTTACCCACTCCAGCAACACCCTTCCCTTTGACCTACCTCTTTAACGCCTCCATTTCTGCCGCAATCCTTCGAATGATGGCGTCTTGGTCTCTCAGTTTATGCTGCAGGCACTAAGCGTGTGATTCTTTTCGCCACCGATGCCCGTCGAGACTCTATGAATGGTCAGTGCTCCTTGCACGCTTTTCTCGTGCATCTCTAAGGAGCCCTCTAGGAGAGGTCTCCAGCCCAGCTATGGTAGGAATGGCGGGAAGACCATCTCTTCTTCGAATGGAATTTGGAGTGATGCCGTCAATGGCGGACAGTGGAACATCATCGTTGTTCGCTATGAAAGATGATTGGAAGAAGAGCTTGGAGGACAAGGTTTTGTTTGTCAGAGTTATTCCCACAAACGACGCCAATTGTACGGGGGTTAAATATCTGATGTTATCCATACTCCTCGTGTCCAAGCTGCGCTTCACTCCGATCGACTTGAGAACACAATGATGGTGAGCTACTCGGCAGTGTCCTGTCGAAAAACCCCTCCGACGGTCAACTTATCACACTTAGAGAGAGAGAAAAGAGAAGAGACAGAGTGGTAGGTGAGTTCTGATTAGAGAATGTTCCACACCTGAGTACGGGGGCGCAACACCGTTTATATAGTTTCTGCTTGCGCTTCTGCACCCATTCCCCTCTGGACGCGTGGACCTACTCTTCTCTCACATTTCTCTACGTGTCAGAGCCAATACAGCTAAACATTACATAACGAAACCGCCAAATAGTTTCAACAGGCACGGATAGCGAAATCTCCTTCATATAATCTTGGGGCGCCGCATAGTATTTTTCAGCGAGTTACGCTTAGCACAGCGTCACACGTCTTCTCACGACCGTGCTACCTGTCCGGTTTCTTTGATAATTCTACATCGTGGCTTAGCTGAGCTTTTTTAGCTTTGACCAAGCTCCTGCTCGGTTGATCTGATCATCAGAGGACCTAACTTGTGTAACTCAGCAGGGCGTATATCTACGTCGGGCTAGCGGTCTGAGGTTACTCCTACTTGACTGGACCGAGGTCCCGGCCCAACGTACACACAATTTCCGCACAAACTTAGCTCGGCCCAATTTCCCTCTAACACTTTTAAAGGATATATAGTTAGGTTTGATTTGATTTAGTTCTTAAATTTATAAAACCGGATAGATTTTTTTATTTTTTTTTAATTGAATCAAAATGGTCCATAAACACCTTAATATTTGGTTTGAAAATTTGGGTTAGATTTAAATTTCAAATCCCTCTAATTTTTAACTTGGGCTTGTCATGAAAGATTTTAATGCGACCCAATCTAATCAACTGGTTCATAAACATAAACTTTTTAGGAAAATTTGGCGAAAAGTTTTTTTTGGTAACTTGTTGAGGCATGGATCCATAAAAAAAACTTGTGATCCCCTCAGTCTTATATTTTTAAAACTATATTCTGGCACATCCTTTATTTGAAATTAGATATTTTTCTATTACATTTTTATTCTTATTTTGGTCAACATGATTATAGGGTAACAATTTTTTTTTTCAAAATTTTAAAATTGCATAACTTTCAAAAGTCATATCCTTTTTTTTTATTTATAAAACTTATATTTTTTAAAAGGGAAAATTACAAATACACCTCTTGAAATTTGCTTAAAATACAGATTACTCCCTATGGTTGGAAAAAGTTACAAATACTCCCTTGTCATAATTTGTTATTTAAGTGAATTAACTGAAAAAATAAAATTTCTAACTGCTTTCTTATACAATAACAAAATTAATTGAATTATTAATTGAAATAAATTTATAATATGATTAAAAGTTAATTAACTTGTGATTTATTAATAAAAGAAGTCATTTGTTATGAAAAAAACTTGAAGGAGAGGGATGTAATTTTGAAAATCACAGGGGATAATTTATATTTTAAAAAAATCTTAGGAGGTGTATTTATAATTCACCTTTTTAAAAATTACTCAATGAGATCTATTAAACAATATTTCAATTGAATATAAAATTATGTAAAATGAAAAAGTAAAAATTTCACACTATTTTAATGTTAATGTTTACATTTTTTTTTAAAATAAACACATGTGATTTTTTTTGAAAAGTGCAAATATTCATATTTTCAATGAATTAGAATAGTAATTTTTTGAAAAGTGTGAATATTTTTTTGAAAATGTGAATATTCCCACCAACTTTCACACTTCCAAAAAATTCATAACATTTTATTTATTAAATTGGATATTAACACTTTTATAATTTTTACACTTGTAAATTAGATTGTGTCATGACCAAAACTCGCCTCTATAAATTTAGCGTCGTAACCAGCTAGTAATCCGTGATTACCGAAAGCCTGTTTAGAAATAATGACAATAATATAATATAAAGGGGGCTGAAGGAAGCCAATCAATAATAATATACATCGTCCAATGAGCTGTGAGGACCTGAATGAAAATAAACTTTCATATACATAGTTATATCTACAAACACTTATGTCCATAAAACACATATATACAAGACAAAACACAAGTTAGGGATTTAAATCCCATTATCAAAAACAGTCTTAACAAAAGTCATAAAAAATTCATTTAACTCCAAACAACATTAAAAAATGGTGGATTTAGATCACCCCAAAAAGCCTCGATACAAGTTGGTTTGGAACCTCACGATGAGACACAATAGCTGGCTTGACAAAACAACGGTTCGGGTCGACGCCACTAGGTTTGATCTGATGCTCGATCAACTACATATATATAAGAAACAGTAAGCTAGGGCCCAGTGAATAACAACTGTGTAAAGAGGTTAAGAATGATGTCCTTACAGTATTTGAAACAATCGATTATCAATAGAATATTTTCAATCAATATCTTTTTGTCAATCAGTCGTTCAATCGTTCAATTCAATCAATCATATTCGTATAGGTCATACGTGGTACATCCAATAGCAACAATACAATAGGTTTTACAGACTGAACAATCAATTGATGGCCATCAAACAATAGACAATAGTTTCAAGAATTGGAACTGACAGAGATTTCTGTAACAATAGCGATAACAATATCAATAACAATAGCAATATGCTATGGATGTCACGAATACAGTTCAAAAGAGGATCATCATTCAATCAATAAAAAGTATCATTTCATAAAACAATATTATTTATCAATCGGAAAATAAATAAGATTGAACATATCTTTACAACAGTGTTACTCACAATAGGCTCCTGAAAAACACGTGGTAATGGTTTGGCATCCGACCTAACAAATAAAGTCAAGCATAACACGATTATAATCACATTCTTATAATACTACTCAATATACAGTTTAATCAATCAATCGGTTGCTTACGAATTTGATTCTTATTCATTGCTCACTCACTCGGTTCTTCGTTTTTGTTTCTTAGTTTCATTTGTGTTTATGACGTGCACATGAATGCAATTGCACATGAAAACTCGTTAAAGTCATGCAAACGAAGGCTCGGAAGGTGGAAAAGTGAAGCGAAAAACAAAATCGAGACTGCCCTGCTGGCCGCTCATACGGTGGCTTGGCCGCACAAGTGGTGGTCAAACAGAATGAACCCTTGAGCACATGAAGATGGGCTGCTTGTGTGGTGGCCCAGGCTACTTGAGTTGTCTGGGTTGAAATGGTGTTCGAAAATCTGTCCAAGTTTTGGAACTCATATTTTGCAAACCCAACCTCACTTTCATTTATGACAAGGCCAAAAACTCTTCAAAAACATTTTGAATTCACAATATCTAACTTCAATTTTTTTTAACTTTAACAAAAATCATAAATTTAAAAAAAGGCTCAATTTCTATGCAAAAAATCAATCTCTTGAATTTAAATACAAAATATCCTAATGTAAACTAATTGAGTTCCAAAACTAGAAATTACATGGAGGTTTTCTCCTAACTTTGAAAACCCAAGTAAGAAGTAAAGACAAGTAGAAAATCATGAATTCCATAGAAATTATGCCATGTATGTAGGATGTAAGAGCTAATTCATTCAATTCTTTCATATAAAGACATGCATGTTCAAAGCTTTTAGTTGTATGAATAAATTCTTTAATTTAGTCTTAAAATTCATCCTATTACAACACAAACCTAATGGATTAAGCATGTCAATTTCATGGAATAGGTGAAGAGTTCTTACCTAAAGTGAACAAATTATGGAGGAATGGCCTTCAATTCTAGTTCTTCTCCCGTTTCTTATCCTTCTCTTCGTCTTCTCTGTGGAGCTCACTCTCAAAGTCTCTCTCTCTCTCTCTCTCTCTCTCTCTCTCTCTCTCTCTCTCTCTCTCTCTCTCTCTCTACGTGTAGTGTAAAGCAAGCCCACTAGTTTTTCCTTCTTTGGTCAATTGATGTGTAGAATACTCTATAATAACAATAACAATAATAATAATAATAATTTATTTCCTAAATTAAATTGTAGTCAAGTAATTCAAATTTAATTAATCTCATTATCTTATAATCTTAATTACACTAAATTAAATTATACTAATGTGAATTAGGCTCTAATTCCTATCCAATTTTCTTAATTCTAACTTATTAAAAATTAACGAATCAGACAGGTTTAATTCATAACTCCACCTATCCGTTCACACTGACCATTCCATACACATATATCACACGTGGCACATAAATCACAATTAGCACATAATCATACAATTAACACTAAACAAACAATGGTTATAGTTAATTTACTTAATTAAGGAGGTGATTGTCACATGTTGTGATTGTATGAATGTTCACATTTATAATAAGATTTTCTCTTACAATCAAGTTTCAAATTAGAATCTGATTGTATTACCAAAATGTTCAATTCTATTTCATTTATAGTTTAATTTTTATGTAACTAGTGCTAATAGAGTCATTTTGTATCACACATGACTTGATGGATTATAAATTTTTTGTATAGAACCAAATGAAATATAAGCTATCTAAATGGAATTTTTTAATAAATGTCCATTTATTTTATTATTAGATTATACTAATAAGCGAAATTCAAACAATTATTAAAAGGGGACTCAAGTCATAAATTTAATTTCAATTTTTTTAGGTAATAGCTCTATATTTTTTTCTTTTAGGGCCAAAGAGATAAAATAATTTAAAAGATCACCATATTACCCCTATATATCAGTCTATTTGTCCTTGTCATTCATTTGTCTACTTATCTGTCCAGATGCCATCTATCATACTACCTATCTATCCACTTGTCATTCACTATTTATTCATACGGTGGTACTACATGCACGAATTAGTGTACTAACTAGTGTACCACATTAGTTATACCTTACTTATTAATCACATTAAAAATATCAAAAACCTCTTAAATTATGTCACATCATCAATTGATACACTAATTAGTATACTAATTAATACATATAGCATTATTCTTATTCATATGTTACCCAACTATCAACCTGATATGTTTATTTACCCATATTACCACTACCATTGCTAGCCACGATCACCGTCGTCGGCTGAAAACTTTCCTGCCATTTTTTTGGCAACTCTTTTGGCCTCAGAGGTGATCTAGCAGCAATAGAATAAAAATGAAAAAAAAAATCTTCAAATTAACAATTTATTCTTCTCATCAAATAATTTTATTATCTCCATAATAATAAAAATAAATAAATAAAAACCTAATCTTTGAACCCTAATGTCATATCCCATAAAAATGGTTTATCAACAATATAAACCCATATTAAAAAATCTCAATTAATTACTAACATTTCAAAACAAAAAAACAAGTTAATATTAACCCATATACATTTACTTGTATAAATGAGATGCACTTCAACTTTACAGTATAAGTCCAACTGACTATATATTCTTAACCACTCAATCATCTGTCTTAATACAATGTACATGAAAAATCTCATTAATATTTATCAAAAGTAAAGATATGATTCACTAACCTTCTACAAATATATTATGCATCATACAAATCTAGCTGGAATAAATAATATCCATTGATTTACTTTCTCTAAATAAATTTCTCAGTTAATTTTGTAAATATATAGGCCAATTTTGGCAACATGAAGTTTTGGTCAAAAAAAGTTATTATAAAGTGTCAAGAAATCATTACAAAAGTCAACTCTCAAAATAATGCATATTATTGTTAAAGAAAAATTAAATTCATACAAAAGATTTTTTGACAAAAATGATGTGTGAATATAATTATTGTAAATAAATTCATATTTAATGGTATTTTATTTGAAAGTAAAAGGCCCACAATGAACCATATCATTATGTATGAATTTTTTATTGGGTCATGCACCAATAAATCCCAAATCTTTATTTTATGACCCATTTGGTCCTACATTTTATCTTGTGATCCAATTAGTCCCAAGCTAATGTTAATGACAAAATAACCAGTGTTACACTATGTTTTGTGCTTTTTAGTAAGGGTAAATGAGGAAAATCCCAACATGGTATCGACTGAAATGCCCAAAACCTTTACTCTGTAGATGTTTGTTTTCATCAAACATCATCATCATCAAAGCAACATCATCATCATCAAAACAAACATCAAACATCACAATCATCAAACAACGGCCCCGTTTGGTGTAGCTGTTAAAATAACTTATAGATTATACCTTAACAGATTATAGATTATGACTTTAATCAGAAGTTGTTAATCTGTTTGGTGTAGCTGTTCGATTATAGATTTAAGTTGGTGAGTAGTGTTTGTTAAATAAGCTGTAAAATAACTTTTTCTATTAATTTTTATATTTTGTTTGTCTACATTTCTCATAAAAAATAATAATAATAATAATCTATAATCCATTTGGGTCTTTTTCTATTTTTAAAAAAATAAAAAATAAAAAAATCTAAGAGTATAACCATAAATTAATATGTCCACAGTAGAAGCTGATAATCACAAGTAAGGGGCAAGCAGCTTATCAGAATCAACTTTTTTGAGTTAAAATAAGCTGTTAGAATCAGAACCTGTTTGAAATAAGTTTAACCAAACAGTCCAAAATAACTTTTTCAAAGCTAAAAGTCATAAGTTAACTTTGAAAAGCTGAAACAAACATCCCCAACATCAAACATCATCATCAAAACAGCATTAAACATCACAACATCATCATCAAAACAACATCAAAATAACTATTAAACAATTTTTTTAGTAACGATTAAACATCAAAATAACGATTAAAATAACATCAAACATCAAAATAACGATTAAACATTTTTTTTGGATCAAACATCATCATCAGATTAGGGCTTTGGTGATGTTAAGACCCAACAGGGGTTGAGTCTCGGAGGCCATCAGATCGAACCCGTACGGGATTAAGAGGGAATTGATTGAGAAGATGCTGATATTGTAGGGTAAGGTTTTGATGAGAGACTTAGATTCCTCCGCCTCCTCCGCGGTTAGTGCCTTGAACGGGAGTGCCGTTGGGGCCGGTGACGTCGACGGCTTTGGTGCGACCGTTGTCGCCTGAATCGATGATGAACTCGACGGCCTCGTCGTCGCCGAGGATGCGAAAGCCGTCGGATTTGATGGAGGACTGGTGGACAAAGAGATCTTCGCCGCCGTCGTCGGGGGTGATGAAACCGAGACCCTTTTGGTCACCGAACCACTTCAGGACCCCTTTCATCATCGCGCTATTGTCTTCTTCCATTGGATCAAGAAAGTTCCAAGGGATGTCACAAACCTTAGAACTCAGAAAGCGAAGAGATGAAAACCCATTGATTGAGATGTTGTGATGTTTGATGTTGTTTTGATGATGATGCTTGATGTTTATTTTGATGATGATGTTGTGATGTAAAAAAATGACTAAATGGTTTATAAAAAAACATTTAGGACTAGATGGAGTAACATTTTTCAATATGGGATTTATGAGTAATTTTTCATTTTTTATTTGTATAGTATTATTCAAAATTTTAATTATAGAAGATTCTAGTCATACATAAAATTCACATAAAAAGCTTCACAAAATAATGTGACAATGTCATTGTTGTAAATAAATATATTTTCAATAGTGGTGGCAATCACGAGGGTTGGGGGTGGTGGTTGCTAGGGCTACAATGATGTTGAAAAGAGGTTATAGGGGTATTGAAGTGAGGTGGAGTCGAGGTAGGGAAGGGTTGGGGAGTTCGTGGGAGGGACGATGATAGCCAAGATAGGCTATGGAAGAGAGAGCGAAGGCAATGGTGGGCCGTCGAAGCTAGAAATGGTAGAGAAGAGTGTCGCTAGAGCTGGTAGTGGCTGGGGTGGGAGGGTGGTGGATGGGGTTAGGGTACTTTGGAATGGATCCAGATGGTCTCAAGTAGGGGTGAGCATGGCTCGGATTGGACCGGATTGGGGTAAAATCAGGACCAATCTGTTATCTACGGTTCTTGGAAAATTAGAACCAATCCAATCCGTTTAAATCATGGAACCAATCCATTTAAATACAGATTGGATCGATTTAGGACCACGTATTCACATAATTAAATAACAAAAATACATATATAACACTTTAATTTCATAAAAATATAAACATAACGCTATATTAGTTCCACAATAGCAACATGTTTTTTTATAATAGTGACATACTGTTCTAGAATTTAAACAATCAGAAGAAAACTGGTTTCACCATAAGTATTTAGACCATTACAAATTAAAACTAAAAACTAACAAACAAAAGTAATAAAAGAAGATATTATACAGTTTCAGGTTTGAGTTTAGATTTTATATAAAATAAGAGAAGATACTATGGGGGAGGATGTATAATAAAAATATAGACTATTTGTATACGGTCCGGATCGATTCAAATCCGGAACCGTGGGGTTCAATCCGGAACCAATCCATGGACTACTGATTTTTAATTCTTCACTCTGGAACCGAACCGCGGATTCAAACAACTAATCCAAACCTATCGGATTGGACTGGACTGGATCGGATTACGAATTTCACGGATTCCTTACTCAGCTCTAGTCTCAAGTTTACAAAATAGACTGGACAGTGTTGTTTGGGCCCATAGGGCTTACTACGGGTCTAATTTTAAAAATCTAAACAGTTCAATGTGTAGGGTTAGTCGAGTAATTTATCCCTGCAAAAAATCATGTTAATTAGATATTGATAATCTCTTGATCATAACACATATTTTTAACAATTTTATTTTTAAAATCATATTTACCATTAATAAAAATATGATCTGATCAAGTGATTATCGATATTCGATCAACATGATTTTTTACAAGAATGAGGTACTCAACGACCCTTACACATTGAACATTTAGATAATCGAAATTGGACCCATGGTAGACTCCACGGGTCCAACAGTATGCTCTAATCCGATTTCAGATGGGATACAAGCCTAATCCTTTTGAGATAAGGTGGTGTGAATTGAGAAAATAATAAAAAAAACAAAAATGGTGTGAGGGTGTGAACTGAGAAATAATGTGTATGAAATTAAACTATTGTGTTCAAATAGAATCTCCGATTCTATAAAATAATTATAGTTTAAATGTGATATTTTGTCTTTTTAATTTTTTAACCTACAAAAAGACAAAGTTCTCTTTTGTGAAGGTAAAAATAAAAAATAAAAAAAAGCCAACTTATTAGCTTATTAATTTATTTGAGCCACATCATTATTTTATTTTTTTACACGTTTTTTCATAATAAGTTAATAAGACCCCAAAAAAAAAAAAAAACATACTTCCTAAAATAAGTCAAAATAGACTAAAAAAATTAATAAAACAAAATATAACATCCAAATTATAACCATTTTTTTTTCTTACAACCATCCTATCAAAACAAAAAATAAAAAATTTATCCCAAATAAATTTTTTTAATCAAGCTAAAATAAAGTTTTTAAATAAAATAAAAAAACGAAAAGTCACACTATAAAATTTATTCCAAACAAAGGCCTCGCTTGGGGAGTAATTACTTTAGTCAAAAAGTTAAAAATCATTATAAATTATCATGTCGTTATCTTTATTTTTCTACACATATTTTCATAAAAAATTAAAAAGTTACTAAAATAATTTGATGATGCTACATACACCAATTAATATACTAACTAATGTATTAATTAATGTTATGATATTATTACAAATTATAAATACTCAAAATTTGTTTCCAAACCAAGCGAAAGCCTGCATATTAGAGATTAATAACGAGTGGCCTGTGTTAGCTAGGCCGTAATATAAAACGTGAAAGCATTCAAAGTTTACAAACCCACATATCCGCGTTTACCACAACATTCACGAACACGATGGAGAGATCCAGCACCGGAAGAGCTGAAAATGCCGATGAGAGCGGTGTCGTTTCATTCTCAGATCGAAACCTTGAAAGGAAGAAGGTGAAAATGGGAGAACAAGAAGAAGAGAAAGAGTCGGTGGAGCAGGTATTCGAGTCCAAGGAGGTTCCGTCATGGCAGAACCAACTCACTCTGAGAGCCTTCGTCGTGAGTTTCGTGCTCGGAATTCTCTTCACTTTCATCGTGATGAAGCTGAATCTCACCACTGGGATTATACCTTCTCTCAATGTCTCTGCGGGGCTCTTGGGATTCTTCTTCGTCAAGACATGGACCAAGTTTCTGGACAAGTCTGGACTCCTCAAACAGCCTTTCACTCGCCAAGAGAACACCGTCATTCAGACCTGCGTCGTCGCTACCTCCGGCATCGCCTTCAGCGGTATGTTCTTCTCACTACTCCTCAATGTTCCCCCAATTAATTACTTCCATTTTGTGTGATACTGGCTTTCATTTCACCATTCTTTGACATTTTTAACTTCAATTTTTCATACGATCCCTCTGTCTCTCTCCATTTTTTAAATTCTGGATTCTGATTCGATATTGATTTTTTTTTTTTTTTTTTTTTCCTGTGTTTTTTCTGCAGACGAAGGAAGACGAAGAAGAAGGGTGGAGAAGAAGAGAAGGGAGGAGGAGTTTTTTTTTTTGGGGGGGGGGGGGGTTATCTGAGGATTTTGTTTAAAATTAGGGAGTCAAAACTAAATTTGAATTGTTTGTGGTAGTGGCATTGGTAGAAAAATGCTACAAATCGCAAAATTTTACAAAAAAATTGACAAAATACTCGCATGATTGTTTGGTCAATTGTTTAGTAGATTTTTTTTTTGGTTTTTGTAACCCTAGCATTAGGGATCAATCCTATTGAGGCCAAATTATTTGGTTCGATATTTGTTTTCATTTTTAAATAAGTTAATTGTTCTTCACGATTTAATTGGTAATTTTATAATTATAATTATAATTTGAAATCCAATAGACTGTTTATATATCTATGTATAATTTGTTACACACTTGATTATTTTAATAGTATCATGTATATATTTATTGAGTTTTTAACTTTTTTATCTTGTAAGTACGTTCTTATATAATGAAAGAATTAGTTTTAAATAATTATTTAAATAAATATTTTCTATAAAATAATGACATATTATTTAATATTTGAATATGTTAATGATCATAACGTGAAAAATGACAAGATTTATATCGTAATTTCAAATTGAATTGAACGTTTATGGTTCAATTTAGTAGTGATTTAGTATCAATTTATTGGGGGAATTATAATTTCGTGATGTTTTAAAAAATTATTTATAAATATATGAAATTTTTTAAAATTTTAATTATTAATATTCAGAAAATTTATTATTAATGTGCCATTTTTTTTCTTCTTCTCTACATTTACACTGAATAATAATTTTTCCTAATTTATTTTAAAACCAATCCAAGCCAAACAATGCTGCCTAGTGTGAACATAATTTAGTGGGAGTTCGATATGAGTGGACCTTGGATGATCCGAAGATAATGAAATCACGTCAACTTCGTGATCAAAGTACGTATGGCATTAGCATAACAAAAATGGTAGAGATTCTAATTTTTTTTTTAAATTTCTATCAAATATCTTGTATGAGGCTCACACATTCATGTGAAAATTTTAATAAAATTTTTAGAATTTTTAACATTACTCTTAGCATAAAGATCTAGATGGTGGTTGCGTGGGTCCCAATATTCAACAGTCAAGGCCAAAATATCACCAAAAATTCACTAATTTTTAAATCATCAGCCTTGCTATACTTAATTTTGAACTATATTAACCAGACAAGGTTTAAAAATATCCATGCATCAGATTAGCTGTAACAAAATAAATTTTAAACATTGTTATAATACATTGTTTGTTCACAAGTTATATACTATTTTATTATTTATTCTAGAAAAAACATTTCTTCTATGGTCTATCACTCGATCATCTACCTGGTCGACTATTCAATATCTCTTTTATCTGGGCAATTTTTACCAAGAGGTCGACCACTTGGTCATCTACCCGGTTGAACCCCCACATCTTCCATCTAGGCAATTTTCATTAAGTGGTCGACCATCTAGTCATCCATCCGGTCAACCGCCTAATTGACCACCCAATAAAAATGAATATTTTATAAAACTAAATTTTGGAATACAGAGTCAGATGAAGTAAAAATGTTAGCTAAAATATAAAAGTAGATTTTTTATTATAATTTAACTCAAAATTTGAGGAGTCTGATGCGGATGCTCTTACCAACTTAAAAACATTACCAAAAAAAATCACTAGAGGTAAGATCTCACTTACACAAATATGGTATTTAAGGTGATCAATTATAGCTTGAGCACGATTTGTATTTGGCTGGTTAAAATTTGTTCAAACTCAATTTATTAAGTAAATAAATTAATTTTAAATACATTTTGAAACTTATTAAAGTTTTGAAATCAAACTTAAACAATAAATTGCTTATTTGGCTTTGTTTGATATATAAGTCCAAAAACTACATAAAAGTACCAAACTATTAAAATTTGGCCCGACAAATACTCATTTGAGATTTACTCAAAAGTTTAACAAACTAAATTTAAACTAATTTTAAAACTCGTTACAAATTTTTAAATAAAGTTTGAATAATTAATTTTTTCCTTATTTATATTTAAGGAAAGAAATTTCTCTCCACTCTAGTCCGATATTGGACCCCCATATTTAAATAGGTCATGGTAGTACTAATAAATTAAAAATAATTATACATCAAAATAGCCCCATATGTATGCACCTTGGGATTCTCAACTCTAAGTAAAAGTAATAAAGATTCACCCATTGTGTTGTGTTGTGTGTTTTTAGTGTTTGCCTATTATTTAATTCTATTTAAGTAGATTGTTTTTAAAATTTATTTATTTTATTTTATTTATTTTTTTAAATTAATGAGAAGTAAAAGAAGCTGCTGGTGGTGGTCCCAACTAGTTTAGATGATTACAGTTTTTTTTATTATTTGTTTCTTTTGAGTTAGTTAGAAAGCTATTTTATTGATTAAAAATAAATTTATAAAAAAAAAGTAATGTGAAAAATAATTTATTTGGTCCATTCTTTTAATTTTTGACTCTTTTTATTGACTTTTTAAAAAAGTGAGAAATGAGTTTATAGAATGAGTGAACACTTTTTTTAATAAGATAAATTCATTTTAATCTATAATTTAATTTTTAGTCACTAAAGTTTAGATAGCGCTTTAAATTAATATTACTATTCTAAATTATAAAATCTATTACTTTTAGAAGCTAAAGTGTTAAATGTCAATTTGTAAATAGAATGGAACATTAGTTTAGGACATTAATAATTTTTCTAAAGTCATACATTTATTATTGATGATAATTTATATAATAAGTAGGGTCAATTTTAATGACATAACATTAGCTGGTACATTAATATGCACGTTAATTAGTGGACGGATTACCATCGCACCAAAAAATCAAGAAACATCATTTTCATTGCATTCAAAATTTTGTATTGGTAATACAAAAAATATATATATATATATGTATTGGAAAGTAAGGCAACGATTGTTATCAGTCCCTATTTTGGGAACTGAAAGTCTTGGGATTGTCAACAGCCACTGTCCACGCATATCCCAAGTTGAGTTGCAGAATATTAATTGTTAAATTTACCATCATCATATTTCTAGAGAACTGATTTTGAACCTAATTCAAACTGAACCCGACTTACATGTTACTCAATATTCATTATAACCATTCCTAATTTAAGTCCAACATATCAATCAATTTTGACTTGAATTTTGGGTCACATATTATTTTTATGTTTATATATAATCTCTTGAGTGCAAGGAAAAGAGTTTACAACCTTCTTAAGATGAGAATATTTCAAAGATGATGTTAATGTTAATAAAATATCGGTCTTATGTCTCATAGAAGTATTTTGGCTTTCGGTCGGTGCTTTTACCAATTGGCAAGCCATTTTTTTTCCACCCAACTACACTACCATGTATATCACACAGTATTATCATGATTAGTATTTTAGTGTTTTCAAGTAGTTTGAACTACAAGAACTAACGCACTTGTCGTACATTATATAGAAAAATTGGATTTTAATTTCGTTTGGGAAGCAAGATTTGGGCTAAAATAGCCATATAAGACAAAATAGGCTATTTTAGCTCAATAAGACAAAACATTCATCCAACCTATAATTATTACATTATTTCTCTCACAAAAAAAGTAAAAAAAAAAATCAAAAGTCCTTCCCAAACCAGGCTTTTTAGCCCCAGGCTAAAATAGTCAAAAAAAGACAAAAAGTCAAAAAGCCAACCCACTTTCCAAACGGAGGCGTTGTGTTTGCATTTAGTTTGCTTTATAAAATGGTTGTGGTGAGAAATTAAGTGATCTTGTTTGCTGACCATTTCATGGCGATAATTCGTGGTAGCTCTTAGTTCCATGTGAATCTTTAATAGTAGAACTAGTCTACACTGTTCTTTGGAAAACACATAAATAAATAAAGCATTAATTGATGGTGGTTATTGTCATGCATTCTTTGGCACCAACATTTTGGGACTATTATTTCCTGAAAGCATTGAACTTCAGTAATAATTTTTGTGCGGTGGTTGGCTTGAAACTATTAATTGCTTTCATGAATTTTGATTGGCCTGTGTATTTGAATTTCTCCTTAACACATTATGACATTCTCATCACCCAAGAGAAAGAGGAAGTGGGGGATTATAGTATGGTCCTAAAGTCTGTTCCTTTTGGAAGCCACTTACTTATTCATACAAATGAGACTTTTCTTTTCTTTTTTCTTTTCTTTCAAGTTAAACAACTTTCAGTCCCTTTGGAACATGAGACGAGAAAAAAAGAAAAGAAAAAGGATTAGACATTTTATTTACCTGATTAGTAAAGTGATTACATATATGAAGATTGATTTGTAAAGTGATTAGATGTATGAAGATTGGATGCTTCACGCACCACATACTTACCATCTCAGCCACCCCTGAGAGCAATGTGTGTGAGAGGAAGTGGGTGTGGATAGAATTATGGGGGTGTATTTAGAATCATGCAATAAGATTCCTTGGGGTTGGGTATGAAAATAGGATGGGGACATTGTCACGTATTGCTCTCCATTTAGGTAAAGTGACCTTTAGGACCATATACCATCACTTCTCATATGCTCTGGATGACCAATGAACCTGCGCTAATACAAAATGTAAGTTTTTGTGACAAAACCAGATGATCAATGCTATTTGCAGCCCGCATCATACATTTTACTCTTGATACCTTGGTTTAAAGAGGCATGCCTCGTCTAGGTCTTTTAGCTTATTAAGGCACTTTGATGTTCTAATTTTGTTGTTCATCTAGCCCGAAGAAAATATAATTAGATGCAAAACTAATTCAACAATAAAGGACACAAATTAGTACATTGAGACATTTGGAGGTAACAGAATATATGAACTTTCATACGATTATATGAATTTGAAGGGGCTACAGTGGTTCAATTTATGAAGTACTATAATAATACAATTTAAATGCTTACCAGCAAGATTGTCACAAGGAATGTCGGTGATCACAAAGCATGCTTTATTTTGTTTTCTCACGAGGGTTGACTTGCATTGCTCCATTGATCAATTTTCCCACAGCTTGATCCAACCTAATCTCAATATTTGTGGTGTCCTTACCAACTATTTTTTGGGTAGTCTGGCTCCCTTGGAGGTACTTGATATTAATGAGCTATTATTTTACTTAGCAGCGATTGCTCATCAAATTTTATGTAAGACCATATACCAACATCTAATGTGAACCTAATGTTTCTTTGAATTTGAATAATCAGGAGGCTTTGGGAGTTATCTTTTTGGCATGAGTGAACTTGTTGCCAAACAGTCAACTGAAGCTAATGATGCACAGAATATAAAGAACCCAACGTTGGGATGGATGATTGCATTTCTTTTTGTCGTTAGCTTTCTTGGACTCTTTTCTGTGGTGCCTCTTCGAAAGGTACATTCTTAAACTCATTAACTAGATGCATATAGATTGAAGTATTGCTGACATGTTCTCTATTCTTAAATCTGATTGCTGTCTCTATCGCACTCTTTGCTCAATCCATTTTAACCTCATCTGTGTCATTAACTGCCAATCTATGACTTTTACTTTCGAAATGTATTGTCTCATATGCAATCTGTTCCATTCCAGATAATGATCATAGACTTTAAACTGATTTATCCAAGTGGCACTGCAACTGCTCACCTTATCAACAGCTTCCACACTCCTCAAGGTGCCAAGCTAGCAAAGTAAGGCCTTGACCAAAAATTTATTTCATCATTCAATCTTAATAAATTTGATCTGACAGATTGTGTTTGGTTCTCCTTTTATTTTATTGTTTCATTCCAGGAAACAAGTCAGAACTCTGGGCAAGTTCTTCTCATTCAGTTTCTTCTGGGGCTTCTTCCAGTGGTTCTTCACTGCAGGGGATGACTGTGGATTTGTAAACTTTCCTACATTTGGTCTCAAAGCTTATGAAAACAAGTACATACATAAACTTTGATTCTAATGAAGCAATTCAAAATTCCTTTCATATTTTATACCATAAATGAATTCAAATAGGTGATCACACCATAATAACGGTGGACTGTCTTGCATCACATCTTTCCCCTTAGGTTGGTGAAGGCCTTCCCACAAAGGACTTGTCTGAGAGTTTGAAATAATTCGAACTTAAACAAGATGCAACCTTTTGTAGTATTGTGCCTGTTGATGAAGAGGCACCAAAAGCATCTTTAAATATATGCCTTGTATTCACTTGCAACCCACTTCAAAAAATTAATTCTATCTTCCTTCCTGCAGACAAGTTTGTGTGTGAATGATAAATATCCTTATGGGAATTTCATCAAGCGTTTTGTGTTCTTACAAAATGGATGGCAAGAAATTAATGATTGAATACTGAAAGCTACAAACTCATTATTTATCTATTATTGACATTTCATTTTTGGAGTTCAAGTCTTCTGATCTTTGTCTTTTAAAATCAAAATATAGGTTTTACTTTGATTTCTCAGCAACTTACGTCGGTGTCGGGATGATCTGTCCGTATATAATCAACATATCTTTGCTAGTTGGGGCAATCCTATCATGGGGCCTAATGTGGCCACTCATACAAGTACAGAAAGGCCATTGGTACTCTGCAGAGCTTAAACCAAGCAGCCTCCATGGCCTGCAAGGTTACAAGGTAACTTTCTTTCCTTGTTCTAAAGCCATAGACCGAATCAGTGTTTGCTCTTTTAACCTTTTTTTTTTTAATCCTTTCTTTGCCACAGGTCTTTATAGCAATAGCCATGATCCTTGGTGATGGCCTCTACAACTTTGTCAAAGTCCTCGGTCACACACTATTTGGTATGTATCGTCAACTCCGTGATAAAGGACGAAACAGTGTCCTCCCTGTTGCTGGTCGCTCCCCCTCGATGAATAGTTCTCTATCTTTTGATGATCAGCGTCGGACCCAACTCTTTCTCAAGGACGAAATTCCAACATATATTGCAGTTATTGGCTATGTTGGTATTGCCGTTATCTCTGCTGCAACACTTCCACTCATCTTCCACCAACTCAAGTGGTACCATATTGTGGTTATTTACATCTTTGCACCGACACTAGCCTTCTGCAACGCATATGGATGTGGTCTCACTGACTGGTCCTTGGCATCCACCTATGGAAAGCTAGCAATCTTTACAATTGGGGCGTGGGCAGGATCGTCCCATGGTGGTGTCCTTGCTGGGTTAGCAGCTTGTGGGGTCATGATGAACATCGTGTCGACTGCGTCTGATCTCATGCAGGACTTTAAAACAGGCTATATGACCCTGGCTTCACCACGGTCCATGTTCGTGAGCCAAGTCATTGGAACTGCAATGGGTTGTGTTATTTCCCCTTGTGTATTTTGGCTCTTCTATAAGGCTTTCCATGATTTTGGTGTCCCGGGTTCACAGTACCCTGCTCCTTATGCTCTTGTCTATCGCAACATGTCAATCCTAGGTGTTGAAGGCTTTTCAGCTTTGCCAAAGCACTGCCTCAATCTCTGCTACGCTTTCTTTATTGCAGCCATAGTTGTCAATGCCATCAGAGATGCTGTGGGGAAAGAGAAAGCTCAGTTTATTCCTCTTCCAATGGCAATGGCAATACCCTTTTATCTCGGATCATACTTTGCTATTGATATGTGTGTTGGGAGCTTGATACTATTTATTTGGCGGAAGCTAAACAAGGACAAAGCCGATGCATTTGGACCTGCCGTGGCTTCTGGATTGATTTGTGGGGACGGAATATGGACTTTGCCCAGTTCAATACTGGCATTGGCAGGTGTATATCCTCCCATCTGCATGAAATTTCTGTCAAAGAAAGCAAACTCAAAGGTTGATGCTTTCTTGGGTTCTTAAAAGGATTCTTATTAGTTCAGCAATTATATGTTCTGTCTTGGGTTTTTGTCATGTTCTTTGTTTTCGCAGCTTTCCCACCTCCTTCAAACTGGTTGTTGTGTATACATTTTAAGTGCATAATCATCAAGTATTTGTCATTGATCCAACACTCCAGCTCATAGTTGACTACTACTAGTATGAAGGAGCTCAAAAAGTCCTAGATTGTTATGAATAACTGCAGTGGGTAACAAAGTACATGCTATAATCTACTGTTTGATACCTAGTAGTTTCTATATTTGGTTGGATTTTAAACTATTGGAGATATATTTGTTTGCAATGGCAGGCTTTTTGTATCTTTCCTCTGAAGTAGCTTAAAACAGACTGGGGATTGCAATATAAGGGCCAGTGAGACTGTTTTGTTGCTATGATTAACAACAAAATTAATAGTGAGGGAATTAATAATCCATGATATTAGTGTATGATTGATTATTTAGCTATATTAGAATTCATGACTAATAATTGGTTAGTCAAAAACAATCCATGGATTTATATATATATATATATATTTAAATGACTTAGTTTTTTTTTTAAAAAAAAAAAAATCATCAAAATTAGAAATAGTCAAAAAAATATAAATTAATCCCACGTAATTTTAATGATATAACTTTGAATATAGCTGGATAAATTAGAGATAGTCAAAAAATATAAATTAATCCCATGAAATTCCAATAATATAACTTTGAATATAACTGGATAACCAATTAGAATTCCAACTATATTAAAAGTTTTATTATTAGAATTCGATGGGGTTAATTTATAACTTTTTTTTTAATATTTTTGTTTGTAAATGATTTTTCTTAACTTTAAGTCGATTTTTTATTATTTTCAACATGGTCTTATTTTTTAGGTTTGTCGGGTCTAAACCATCTTAAAAAAAAATAATAATTTTTTTTAAAATGTTACGAAAGACAAAAATAAATCAAAATTTATTGTTTTTAAAAAAAAAAAATACTTACATAGCAAAGGTTTTATTTATTTATTTATATAAGTTTAAAATTAATTATAAGTACACCTTCTAAGCTTTATTAAAAATATAACGTATCCTATCACATGTACAAAATCATAGCTAATCCTTTAAGATTTTTAATTACATAATAAATAACCCATTCCATTAATCTAACAGCGAAGTTCTATTTTCACACTCTTTAATCTCTATAGACATCATATCTCAATTAACACACTTATGAATTTGATTATATGTTTGCATACACTAAATATTCCAACTATAATCCTAACTCATAATATGTCCACACCACCAAAATAGTTTTTTCCACACACTACACCTTCAAACCACTAAATCATTCATACTGCACAGCATTCCTTAAGGACCAACTTTAGTGATCTTAGACATCTTTCGGCAATCCAGCACTTTCCAACAAAGCATGACTCCATTAAAGACTTACATTGAGCTCCACTGCATTTTTGAAGGTAAGAAATATGTATCTCCATCCCATTTTCCCATTTTGTAGTTATTGGAATAAATCTGCAAAAATAAGTTTTAAATTTACCCTTTTCGATAATAGTTCAATGCTGGTTGGCGATGAGATGCAAATAATCCATTCGGTACTGGTTTTCCAAATCAAATGGATTTATTCGGTTTTGTACTTTTGAAATTTTTGTATTTGTTTGATCTTGTACTTTCAAATAAATTTCGGCAGTTGAAAATTGAATTAATTTATATTTTTCAAAAGTTAATTCCCGAAATCATGAAATTATCTCAGCGGTTGTTTCCGAACATAATGAAAATTTTCAGCACTAGTCTGCTGAATGAGAATCGGGAATCAAAAAAAAAATAAAATAAAATAAAAAATTGCACATAAAATGCACCTTTTCATTGTTGCATTTAGTTGTAATGGTGGACAATAGAGTGTAGTAATGGAAGAAATGATAAATAATGAAGGAACAATATAGGTTTTAATTTTTTATTTTCCCAAAAAATGTGCACTGAAAATTATTGCTTCCAAAATATATATATAGAAAAACTTAGTTTTGATATTTTGTGTGTATATTTGTGTCTGTTATGGTCATTTTCTTTTATGGTAAATTTATAATAAAATTATATTTCATTAAATTTACGTACAAAGAGTAATAACTGTGTGAAAATAGAATTTCTCAATCTAACTGGATATATGACACAAACAACCATTTTTTATCTTCCAATATACCTATATTGGCCTATATGAAGTTTGTGGGGGCCGGATAATTGGAAAAATCAGAAGCGTACTCTAGAAGAATATTACTCGGTTCTTTCCTGCACGATCCGGAAGCCGAATAAAACATATAAGCCGAGTAGATACTGAACTATGGAGCCGAGTAAATAAAAGGACAATAAGTGAAAAGTGGACCTGGCCCCGAGGCCTAGGAAACGAGTATAAATAAAGGAACAACAGACTAAGAAAGGTATGCGAGAATTGTTGTGCTTAACTTAGAATATAAGTAATCTTGAGAGTTGAGACTGATTTGTCCGTCGGAGTGCTAATTCCGGCACCCCCGATCGGAGTGTTTATTCATTTTCAGATGACTATTAACGGATCACGAGCGTCCCCCAAGATCATAAGAGTATTTCCAAACCACTTCTCCACAATTGGCGCCGTCTGTGGGAATACTCAAGCATATCCATGGCGGGCGTGACGGAAGACCCTCCAATAGTCATTGATGGAACCACGCAAAGAGACGACCTCACTCCGCCAAACATGCTTGGATCGGACACCATTCCCGTAAGACGCGCTCTGAATTTCGCCTCACCCTCGACTCCAGAGCATGAAGCAATGCAAGCGATCATGGAATAGGCAAAGCAAAACGAACAAAGGTTGGAGAACATGATCACAGAAAACGAACGTCTTCGTGAAGATTTGGCCTTGGAAGTGGCGAAGTCCAAACAAACTGTACGCCTAAATCCGAAACGACCTCCGAAGGCAGGTGGTCGACGACCTTGAGCCCGACAAGACGACACTAATAGCGACTCCGACTCGTTATTCCCGGAGCCCAGGAAGAAGGGGCGACCTGAAACTACTAGTTCTTCTGAAGAAAGTCCTTGTATAAGGCACAAGCGAAGAAGGAACAGTTCGGACGAAGATCAACACGATCCATTTGTACGATGGATTGCAAAGGCAGTCCTACCCAAGAACTTCAAAGCACCGTCATTCATCTTGTACGATGGCAAATCAGACCCCACCGACCACATCCGCCACTACAAGCAAGCCATGACATTGCATGCAGACGACGAGGCCCTCATGTGCCAAATATTTCCCAGCAGTTTGGGACTGTTGGCTGTCAGGTGGTATTATAAATTGGAGCCAGCTTCGATCAAAACCTTCCACCAATTACAGAAATCCTTCAGGACCAGATTCATCACTAACGAGGTCCAGTCAAAACAAGCCGACTTTCTCTAGGCAATGCAAATCCTGCTAGGAGAAACACTAAGAGAATATTCGGCGTGATATTGGGAATGTTTTAATCTTGTTGATGACGCTTGCAACGACTCCATGGCCATTACCGCTTTTAAAATAGGATTACATCCAGAAAGTGCCCTCCGCAGTTCCTTGATTAGAAGACCCCCCAAAATAGTCTGGGGGTTGATGAAGAAAGTAGAGGAATACTGCAAAGTGGAAGATGACGCCTTGCGGGTTAAAGCCGGACACATGGCCAACAAAACGGCCCCTCTTGAAATTGCTCAGCCAATAAGTTTCATACCACCTCAGAGCCTCGAACCACGACAACAGGCTAAACGAGACAAGAAACAGGATTCTCGCCGATCAAGCGATCAATGCTCACATCGAGCAAATGAGCAACTGCAAGTTGATAGTAGGCGCACAAAGCGCGCTGACAAGAAATACACGAAGCTGTCAGAGTCAATCAGCTTGGTTATATCCAAAATCCAACATCTTCTGTTCTTCAAATGGCCGTCCAAAATGGTGGGAACTCATGACACGAGAAGGCGGGATAGGCGGTGCGAATATCACAAAGATCACGGCCATGATACGAACAGTTGCTATGCTTTGAAGGACTACCTTGAGGAATTGGTGCAAGATGGTCGGCTCCAGCAACATGTCTGAAAGAGTGCAATCAAAACAGTTGTCCTTCGGCAGGATTCACCTCCGTTCGGCATCATTCATATGATATACAGCCTTCCAATGCCTCTTACCATACACGCAATTCGGTCAGCCCCCCAGAAGCAACGCACACTGACGAAACGGACCCACGAAGCTCCGAGTATTATCTTTGACGATTCCGATCTTATCAGCATAACACTCTCCCATATTGATCCATTGGTCATTGAACTTCACGTAAACCGATTCACCGTTGAACACGTCCTCATAGACTAGGGGAGCACTTCGGAGGTCATGTATTACGAGACCTTCATCAAACTCGGCTTCAACGAATCAGACCTATCTCCGGCTCCTTATCCATTATTCGGCTTCAACGCAAATCCAGAGTACCCGTTGGGAAAAATCACACTTCTTGTTCGAGAGAGTTGATCCTGAAGGTACTTTCGGGTGACAAGAAACCAGTTGATTGAAATTTGGGTCCTAGCTGAGACGGCCATTATCGGATAGATTCCATATCGGCTAAGAAATATGTCAGGAAGGAGTCTGCCGCGGCCATGGAACCCGACGCACTTGCAAAAATTTTGTCATTAAACCCGACTTGTGGGGAATGACCCTAGCTCTAAGTGACTCGCCATATACACATTCCACTCTTGAAATGCAAGGATTCTTGTTGAAAAGTTGTAATCCCATTCGATGCCGAATATAATTAAAAAGTGCTGCGACGGGAAAAGCCTCCAGATTCGGAGCGCCCTTCGTGGATATCATGATTGGCCGATTAAAGCCTCCAGATTCAGAGCGCCCTTCGCGGATATCACGATTGGCCGATTAAAGCCTCCGGATTCGGAGCCCCATCGGCGCATGACGTCCTGGGGCCAAAAAAGCCTCCGGATTCAGAGCGCCCTTCATGGATATCACAATTGGCCGATTAAAGCCTCTGGATTCGGAGCGCCCTTTGTGGATATCACGATGGGCCGATTAAAGCCTCCAGATTCGGAGTGCCCTTCGTGGATATCACGATTGGCTGATTAAAGCCTCCGGATTTGGAGCGCCCTTCATAGATATCACGATTGGCCGATTAAAGCCTCCGGATTCGGAGCCCCATCGACACATGGCGTCTTTGGGCCGAAAAAGCCTCTGAATTTTGAGCGCCCTTCGTGGATGTCACGATTGGCCGATTAAAGCCT